CGTCGGTGGGGGGAGGCGGGAATCAAAGTACGCAAACACCGAGTGTCACTTTTTTTATTCCGACAATATGCTTGTCTGAGAAAAAAAAGGTTAGTGAGTTTTTTTTGCAGTCTGAATACGGTAGCGATATCGAAGCGGAGAGCCTAAATAGCACACAAACGGTGAAGACGCAGACACTTTTTCTCTGTGTCTCAACCTTTTTTTCTCAGACAAGCATAATATCACTTCTCTCACTTTCCCAAAGAAATATCAGTATATGGTTGTCTTGCGTTTCAAATAAAATTGCCGAAAAATAATAAAAATTGGAATGTAAAATAGTACAAAAATACAGTAATCACATCGAATTATGAAACAAATCGCCGATATCTCGGCCCAAACTGAGCACGGAGACGTTTTGGAGATTGCAAAGGATCGCCACGCAGACTCCAGAAGATTCGGAAGACGTCGAAGGAGAAGAAGGTTTGATGAGAAGGACGGAGGAGGCGCCGACGGCAGCGCCCGTGTGGTAGAAGAATGGAGAATTGGCGCTGAAAAATTCGAAATTGTCCAATAAAATCGGCGAAAAAATAGTGAAAATCCAGAGGAAATTCGCTGAAAATTGCAAAATTAATCACGGAAATGTAAATGTTTCTTTTTTTCGAAATTTTCAGTTTAAAATCGGCGAAAATTGAGTGAAAATTCGATAAAAAAACTACAGTAATCCGTAAAGGCGCATGTCGAGTTTAGTTGTTTCGGGTTTCGCCACGAATGAAACTTTGGCGCGTTTTCTTTTGATTTCTGGAGATTTTTCGACAATTTTTTTTGCAAATTTTGGAAAACGGGCGTTAAAAATTTAAATTGTTTAACTTTTATTGTCAAAAATCTCATCAAAAATCGGCGAAAAATCCCTAAAATCACCCACAAATTTTTCTAAAAACTATAGTAATCCTTAAAGGCGCATCATAAGATACGTTGCGGCGGGTCTCACCACACTTAGGAAAATCGTAATTTTAGCGCTTTTCACACAATTTTCTAGCGATTTTCGCTGAAATTTTACCATTTTAAACAATCTGCAGCACATTTTAGCTTGAAAATAGTGTAAAATACAAGAAAACTGTCCTGAAAATCACAAAAATTGTAAAAAATATTTTTAAAAGTACAGTAATCCTTAAAGGCACACACAAAGTTTCATTGTCTCGGGTTTCGCCGCGATCGCATGCAAAAGTGCTTTTACGACTTTTCATGGGTATTTGGGCGATTTTCAGCGACTTTCTTTTGCAGTTTTCAGCAAACCACACTTTTCCAAACTTACACATTGCCCTCAATCGACTTAATCTCAGTTCCATCAACCAAAAACCACCCTAGCCCAGCAGAAGTGTTTTTCCCGTCAACAGGAACTTGTTCACTGATAAATTTCCGAATTGTCTCTTCTCCAACAATCGTTTTTCGGTATTCCGATCGATAAATATTCAGAATAGCATTTGCGAAAATTAGCAAATCGGTCACATTCGAGATGATCCCCCCTCCCGCGTATTTATTCGAACAATCGACTTCCGGACAGTTTTCCAGAATATTCTTCGAGTTTCTCTGATAGTAGCCAACTCTTCCCGTCACAATTTTCTTCTTTGTATCCAGTTGAGTATGCCGCATTCCGAGATCCGAGAAAAGGGCGGTCGCCAGCTGCCCATACGATTTTCCAGAACATTTTTCGAGTACAGCGCCAGCTAGAGTCAATCCGAACGTGGTATAAGCGAATTTCGAGCCGGGTTTCGCCACCAAATCGTCGTTTTTGAAGATTTCAAGAGCTTCCAAGGAGGTCGCATAGGGCTTGTTGGACAGGAATTCCGGCACTTCTGTGTTGTTGTTCGATGGGTCTTCGAGGGTCGCGGATTTTTTCTTGAAAAATTATCTTTTTTTTTCGTTTTTTAAGAGGTTTTCCGTGAAAAATTCGCTGAAAAATTACCGAAAACCGACTAAAAATGCAAAGTTTATAAAGAATTTCAAAAACTACAGTAATCCATAAAGGCGCATAGTAGAAATTAGTGAGATGAGTTTCAAAAGGAAATCGCCGATTGCAGATTTTTTTTCGATTTTTATAGATTTCTGATTTTTAAAAATTTTCTGAAACTGTTTAAAGCAAAATTTAACCCAATTTATCAATTTTCTGGTTGATTTCAGGCGAAAATTTTGCGAAATTTGGGCCAAAAGTTGCAAAAATTTCGCAAAAGTTGACTACTGTAATTTTAAGGCGCACGCCTTGTTGAATTCCCTGGATTCTCGCAACGACATAAAAATAGGGTTACTGTAGTTTAAAAGGTGCATAGCTTGTTTATTTCTTCGGGTCCCCGAAACGACTAGGAAAAAAACTAGTTACTGTAGTCCTTAAAGGCGCATGACTTGATTAGTTGAGTGGGTTTTCGCAACGGCTAGAAAATTTTTGTAAACAATTTTTTCAGTTTTTTTTTCGCAATTTTCATCGTTTTTCACCGTTTTTTTGGCACATTTTTGGGATTTTCTGCTAGAAATAATACTTTTCATCGATAATTCTCTATCTTCCTGTTGAAAAAATCAGTTTTCACATCTATTTTCCCTTATCAACACTCCCTTCCCACTTGGGTTCAAGCGAGGGAGTCGTTCTCAATTCGCTGCCGAACTTCGTTGGCTGAGTATCACAGTTTTAAAGGATGAGCGAGAATACGCGCGTTGCAACCCGTTGATTTTTTTGAAAGAGATCATGATCTATTTCAAACCCGAGTTCATTTTAAAATTATTAAATTTCTTCTGGCCTACGAGTTTTCTGGGGCGCTTTTTCTGACCCCCTCGCTTGAACCCAATTGCCTTCCCCTTCGATTAGAATTTTTTCCTTGAAACACCAAAAATCCCTCTCGTGGCCTAACTTTCTCGAGTTTCTCTTCCATCACATGTCTCGCTCTCTCCATCTCACACACTATTTCTCGGCAAGTGATCTCTGTCGCTAACGAGTGTTGACGATATAGTTTTCACTCAATTTTTTCTAGATTCTTCTGAAATTTCGTCATTCAAATTGCTAAAATTCCAGAAAAATGTCGCTTCAAATCAGTCTCGCTGCAAAAGGACTTCTGCAGAAAGTCGCGGCGCCTGCAGCCACTTCAGCTGCTTATTATCATGAAAAGGTGAAAAATCCTTGAAAATTATTAATTTTTTATTGATTTTTAATAATTTTCAGGTCATCGATCACTACGAAAACCCCCGAAACGTCGGCTCGCTGAACAAAAACGACAAGAACGTCGGCACGGGAATCGTCGGCGCGCCAGCTTGCGGCGACGTCATGAAACTTCAGATTCGCGTTGACGATAACGGAAAAATCGTCGAAGCCAAATTCAAGACGTTCGGATGTGGCAGCGCCATCGCCAGCTCCTCTCTGGCCACTGAATGGATCAATGGAAAGACCATTGAGTACGCGTCGAAGATCAAGAACGATGAGATTGCCAAGGAGTTGTGCTTGCCGCCAGTCAAACTTCATTGTTCAAGTACTGTATTAATTTCTTGGTTTTTTCACTTTTTTTCGCGAAAATTCAAAAGAATTTGACCGAAAACAGAGCATTTTAAGCTTTTCGTCGCGAAACCCGACGCAGAATTTGGCTATGCGCCTTTAATACAGTATGCCCTTACATCAAGTTGCCTCGAGGCCTAAATTCTTCTAAAAACCCGAATTTTCTGTGTTTTTTTTCCAGGAAATTCGCTTCGGCATTTTTTCGAACTGTTAGGAAACAAATTCGAGAAAACAACCAAAAAACGGCAAAAATCGACATATGTTTAGTAATTTTTAGCTTTTCGTTGCGATGCCCGACGCGAAATTTGGCCATGCGCCTTTAGTACAGTAGCTTGCCAAATCGCTTCGAAGCCCATGAATCGTCGGCCGCGATGCTCCTTTAAATTCTCGTCTCGAAAACAGGCCTAATTTTTCGAAAACTACCCGAATTTTCGGGTTTTTTTTTCTGGAAAAACCGCTACAAGACCGATTTTTTCAAGCAAAAATTCGAAAAAACCAATTTTTAGGCCTAAATTCCTTTGAAATACTCGAAAATTTCCGATTTTTTTTTTCTAGAAAATTTGCCAATTCCTATTTTTTTCAGTGCTCGCCCAGGACGCGATCCAGGCCGCTCTCAAGGACTATCAGAAGAAGCAGAAGAAGGAGGCCTAAATGTTTGTATAATTTTCCCGATTTTTTTTGTTTTCGTTTTAGAAAATTCGCTATATAAATAAAGCTTTTTGCCGTTTTCACCTTTGGATTCGCATAGTGCCGAATTCCCGCAGAATGCGAGAGCAACTGTCTCATTGTGAGTGTCACATCTTCGCCGGCGAATTTTTTCGCTGGGAATTCGGAGAGATACTTCTGAAAAGTTCAAAATTTCAGGTTTTTTTTCAGATGGTTGAGTTTTTCACCCTTATATCGGCGTCCAGGTCGAGTTTTCCGTTCTCAACGAGCTGCGCAGCCAGCGTGGCGGTGATTGGTTTGCTGATGCTGGCGATTCGCATGACGGAGTCGGCTGGAAATTTTCGAAATTAGGGAAAAATCTAAAAAATTCCAAAAATCGAAAATTTGGCAGAAAATTGGAAAAAGTTGTTGTCGTTTTTTTTGGAGAATTTCCCGAGTTTTGAAGGTTTTTGGGTGAAATCGAACTTATATTTTGTCCGATAGAAAATTCAAAAATCAGAATTTTAGCATAAAATCGAAAATTTGCAGTAATCCGAAAATTTGGAAAAATTGCAGAAATGTCGACAAATCGAAAAACTGCTGAAGAATCGGAGAATTGTGAAAATTTGTCAAAAATCGAAAATTTTTAAGAAATTCAGAAAATTGCCGAAAATCACAAAATTCCGAAATTTGGGAAAAGTCTAAAAAAAATTGCTGAAATTTGGAAAAGGGCGAAAAATCTAAAAATACCACGGTAATACCAAATTTCCCAATTTTTTTCTTGCAAGAATTTCAGAATTGAATTTTTCGATTTTTCTCCAAATTTTCAATTTTTTGGAATTTTTCATTGTTTGCGAAAGTTTCAATTTTTGCCAATTTTTCGAGTTGTTGTAAATTTTTTTTTTAATTTTCGATTTTCCACTATTTGAATTTATGAATTCCCGCCAAACCTACCCACCTGTACACCTGGCCAAACTTTCCAGATTCGCATAACCGAATCCACTCTTCCACACCATTTTTCCATCAACTGTCACCGCTATCGACAGTCCCGGAATGCCTTGAATCGCCTTAAATTTTTTAAAAATTCGAATTTTTCCATTTTCAGAAGATACTTACCATAGTCGTCTCCACCATTTCCCTTGCTTTCTGGATTTTTTGCTCTAAGTTTTCAGATTTTTTGAATTTTTCAGAGAACTTGTCAGTCGCGGCAGCCAGGGGGACCGCGAGGACACTGGCTCCAAGGAGTACTCTAGCGTTCGAGTACCAACGCATTCTGGAAGATTCGGAAAATGAAAAATTTAATTTTAGGCTAATTTTATTGATTTTCTACATATTTTCATTGCGAAATATCGAAAAATTGACAAAAATTTTCGATTTTCAGATAAATTCCAAAAAATCACTGAAATTTTGCATAAAATCAGGAAAAATTCACAAATTTTTAAAAAATTTTTTTAATTTCCCAATTTTGAGCCATCAAAAAATTCCGAAAAATCTTTGAAGATAGTGAAAAATCGAAATTTGGAATTTTCAAAAAAAAAGGAAAATTCTCAAAAATTTGAAAAATTGGTTGAAAATCGAAATTTCGCGAAAAATCCGAAAAAAAAATTGAAGATTTCAGAAAAAAAATATTCGATTTTCAGTCTAAAAAATTTCGAAGAAAATCTCTGAAAATAACGAAAAATCGCTAAAATTTTGGAAAAATTTCATATTTTCATGCAAAAATTCAAGAAAAAAAATCTCTGAAAAAATATTTTTTTAACAAAAAAACTTGAATTTTAAGCTATTTTCCAATGATTTTTTTACATTTTTAAGACAATTTTTAGTAATAGAGAAAAAGAAAGGCACTTTTTATTGAAATATCACAGGGAAAAATACAAAAGAAATCGATGAAAATCAAGCAATCGACGGAGAAGGCGGTTCTATCACCTCAATAAGGGCGCTCGCTTCCTCGGCTTCCACAAATGCGTTCTGGAAGAAATTCAAATTTTGGCGCCAAATTCAAATTTCAAACCTTGACCAAACTACACAGAACATTTGCTGCCATATCATCAGCCAACTGTAATAGATGCAGTTGATATCGCGTTGTGGTGCTCTTCTCGACGAATACTGCATGGGTTCTGGAATTTTGAATTTTTGACAATTTTAGGATTTTTTGGCGATTTTCAGGGATTTTTCTTGCGAATTTTCCAGAAATTTTGCCGATTTGTTGGAGAATTTTCCAAAATTTTTGGCTATTTTCAGGGATTTTCAGCTAATTTAGTGGTTTTCTAGCAATTTTTCGACAATTTTCAGGAATTTTTGACGGTTTTAAAGGGATTTTTGGCAATTTTGTAGGGATTTTTAAAGATTTTCTCGCCAATTTTTGTCGAAATTCCGGCAAATTTCATAGATTTTAAAGGAATTTTTCGCAATTTCATCAGGGATTTTTTCGAAAGTTTTGATTTTTTTTTTCGGAATTTTGCACAATTGTTCCGGGAGTTTAAAGCAATTTCTAGTGAATTTTTGGCCATTTTTTCGAAAAATTTGAACGTGGCGCCTAATTCAAAAACGAACTTTCCAAAACCATCAACGAACGTCGTCAGAAGGACGAGCTCGATGAGCGGAATTCGTAGTTTGACGAGGCGAGAGCGCGCAGCCGATATTCGAAGACCGTGTTTTGTGACTTCCATGAAGACCTGAAATTTTGGGAATTTTCGAGCTAAAAATCTGAAATTTCAGCTGGAAATTTGGAGAGAAATGGGGTGTTTTTGAGCTGAAAATGTGAAATTTTCGCCAAAAAATGTGATTTTTCGAGCCGGAATTTGGTAATTTTTCGGGCAAGTTTTGACGATTTTTCGCTGTTCTTTTAATAATTTTGAGGGTTTTCAAACGATTTTGCTGAATTTAGGCGATTTTTTGACTGAAAATCGAGCATTTTCCTGCTTTGTTTGTTTTTGTCATTCTCAGAACCTTCTTTTTCATTCCGCGTGTCATTTTCTCTGAAATTTCGAAAATTCAAAAAAAGGTGG